ACCAAATACTGCATGTTGGAAAGGTTAGGTTTTTCTTTTTGTAGATGTCGCTGAGTAAACCACAGACTCCTCTGAAACCCAAAGTATTATAGGGATAAAACATGAAGCCATCTGCCTGACAGCTGAAGCTTGGCTCAGACTGCAAAATGGTCCAGTCAAAGCCTTCATCCCAGTAAAAGAAATCCTTGAAAAGGTTCAGCTTGTCTGCAAATCTCAATGAATTCACACAAAGAAGAGCATAGATTCTGCTGGACAATAAATTATTCCAGATGTTATTGTGATAAACAATAACATTGTTGTTTTTAGATCATTTTTTAATAATATAATGTTAATGACAAAAATATTAATGAAAGAGCACATTCTAAAAGATGAGTAAACTTTCATTTCTAATGGACATTCAAACACTGGAACTGGAAGACATTTTAAATATCCCAAATAAATAAACAAAACAACAAAGAAAATCAATTTTGAAGGCCAAAACACCAAACTGGAAACTTTTATCATCTAATTTTTGGTAGAAAGAAAGAAAAGTTAAGGCATGTAAATGGAAATTATTGAGTTTGTTTTAATTTATTATGCGATTAATTGGTTTATTGTGACAAGCCTAGTTGCCACATGTGCCTATTTGTCCTGATGTGTCATTTCTTTATCATGTCTGTTTAGTTCACTACTTTTACAAATTGTGGAGAACATATTACTTTAGACCAACATCCAGCCTTTTTATCAGAACAAGAAACTCCTGTTAGTCTACAAATCTAGAGCAAACTTAGAAAGTATCATCGACTTAACAACCCAGAACAAGAATCAAACATGCAGAGCCAACTTTTAGCTTTATTAAAACCCCACTACTTTATAAATTATGGTCTGTTTATTCCTATTCTTATTAAATAGGGGAATCAATATTTAGTTTTACACTTTTTTCTTTCTTTCGGTTTTGTTGTTTTGTTTTTATTTCGTCCTAATTCATGTAAAGCATTTCTGCCTTGTTGCTGAAAATGTGCCATACAAATAAAATAATCTTTAAACTTGACTGATTAGAGACTTTGGATCATATGCACACCCTCATAAGGCACAATAAGTAGATAAATATCAAATAAACTACCAATTGGATGGTTAATTTATTTACCTAAAGTGCATCTAGACTTTTATTTGTTCGAGTATGTGATTCTAAAAGGTTCAAACTTACTCAAATTGGTCTTTAAGGTCTTTTAGACATTTATTATAATGCTGCATGTTGCAGTAAACAACACGAGATGTTTTTTCCAAGTCATATTAAGATGCAGATATAAATATAATCCAATGCTGTAAGATCAGAAGCCACTCATTAAACTGCTGTTTAAGGAAACCTGCACAAACAAGTTAATTATGTTCAGAAGTCTGTACTTCAAATAGTGTCTGCTGCAAATTGTTTCATCCGATTCTTATGAAGTGAACCAGTTTTCAGAACCGAGACAGACAGTCTGTTAGCTCACTGTGTCCTCTGAAGATATTTTAATGTTGACAGAGAGAAATGAAAGACAGCAACACATAATGATGTGTGCTAAGCAAACAGAGGTGTGGAAATTGTTTTGCAAATATCAGAATTACTCATATGAGAAGCTGTTGGCTGCTTGGAGTGAGACAACATGAAGGCTAAATGGATTAGGAAACAGACTGTTGGAAAAACAAAACAAAAGCGTGGTAGGGACATCATATAATATTTTAGACAAATAGATTGTTTAGATTTAATTTTAGTTTCTATTGAAATGCTTAAAAAGTGTTTTTTCCCCCCTATTTAGCATCAACTTCTGATGCATTTAAATCTTTCATCTCACTGCAAGATTTGACTGGAAACGCTGCAAAATAAGTCAACCAGCATTACTAAAAACTAAATGATTACAGACTTTTAGCAGTTCAAAAAAATCTGCCACATGCCAGAGAGAAAACACAAACAACTGGAGCAAACCGATCGCGGCTCCCACAGGCCCCACTGATTGGGATTTCTGAGGCAGATGAATCGTCAGTAGTTCTGTCGGAGACGACACAAACAGTAAAGATCCAGCCTGAAAGCGAGGAAACCGTTCCGGGCTTCAAAGTGCAAAACATCAGAAAAATGCAACAAAACTGCATCCGTGAAAATGAGAAGCACAAAATGAAAGTATAAAAGCAGGCAGAGGTTGAAGGTCACGGCCACAGCGTGCAGACCAAGAAAAAGAGCAGCAGATTAAAGAGGAGACGTAATCGGTCCTTCTTTACCGATTCTGGAATTTTCTGCAAGAAAAACGTGACTCAGACATGGAAGGACAATGGCAGGGATGTCAAACTCATTTTTCTTTTGGGCAAAATCCAGATCATAAATGCTCTTAAAGAGGTAGTTGTGCCAGAATACATTGATAAAAACCTGTTAAACTATTTTTTAAAAAATCTATGAATTCTTAAAATTAAATAATATCATTGAACATGTTTTCAGTCCCTCCAGGATTTTATGATTCTTTTAGAAATTTTTTGCAATAAAAATCAAAGTGTTTGTGGTACTAATTTGGAAATATTTGTCATATTTGCGCTTATTTATTGATGGCAAGTGCGACTTTTCATAACTCGCTGTAAAGATCATGCACTATAATCTGACATCAATTATACCTGAGGCAGCTGTTTAGTACAGCAAAATGTTTTTGACAATTTTTGAGAAAAAACTGCAATATGTTCCAAACTATATAGTAGCACAAAAAAGTGCAGAGATTTGTTGATTTTTTTCAAGAAACAGGAAGGACTGATTGATATAATTTGGCAGTAAACAGATAAAAACGGCATTGATTTGATTGACAACATAATATTTAAGCTCACTTACTGTTTAGTCTAGAATCTAGATGGCCACATAAAAAGCTACGGCGGGCCGGATTTGGGCCTCGGGCCTTCAGTTTGACACATAGACCTGCTGATTAAAATAAGTCTACAGTCCTTACGATACTTTCATTTTAATCTAAATAAAGCTAATATTAATTTAGTAGGACACGATTAAACAATTGTTTTAATTAATTAAGGGGTTAATTCTAAAAAACTGAAATATGAAAACAATTTTAATTCAAATTGTTACAAAGACGTATAACTACATCTACCTCGGTTTAGTGGAAACTGTAAAATAAGAGCTCTGCAGGATAAATCATCTCTAAAGTTTCCTTTTCAAGCAGTTGATCTGAAGAAGCAGGAATCTGGTTGATTTGGTTGCAGATGGAAAAATAGGCAGTTAAGAGATGTGAAAGCTAACACCTCATCATGTCTAAGTGGGACATCCACTCACCAAGCCAAAGTAAAAAAAAAAGAAATGCACTTATTCTTCCTCAATAAAACTGTTTGACAACAAGAAATGCACTTCTTCTAAGATCCAATGGCTGTCAGAGTTTGTGCAACTAGAAGAACAGTACAGGTAACAGTGGAGGGACCGTGTCATCATTGCGATTATTCTTTTTATTAGTAAGCTCTGTTATCACATTGATGCTCGTTTTTCAGAGCATGACTTAAAGGAATGGTCTGCATTTGATATTGAAGCATTGAGTTCAGAGTTTTGACTATGGATAAGCAGAAATTTGTGCTCTGGCAAAGAAGTATGAGGCCATTCTCCTCCACCCACAGATTATGGAGGCCATTAACAGTCAATATGCTGAATTCAAGTACATAAAGCAAGAAGCAGACTGACCATCAACCTGGGCTAAGGTGATGGGTCAGTAAGAAGGGCAGATGTGAAAAAAACTGCAATTAAATATTTTACAAGAATTTATACTGCATCACAAGCTACAGAAAACATTCCATTGTGCAAAATGTGAATATTTTAATATGAACAAACATTTATGTCTGAAAGGTGTAATGTCTCATTTCTGACCCTGGCTAAAGCAGGACTCTTACTTATAGCATGCATCTCATGAACAGCAATGTTTACTTTTTTTTTCATTTTAATTGGGAAAATCACTTAAATTAAGAGCAAACAAATGAAAACAAATGATGTAATTTTATTTTTTTAATAAGCCATGCAACTTTCTATGATCTCAGATTTATAATACTTGTGCGTGGCCACGCCGTGCACACTGATGATGCTCACAGTGGTCCTCAGTGTGCTCAGAAAGCTTGTGTGTACGCCCAGACACATGAAAAATTAGAGGGAACATTGCTAGCAACTAGTTATTTATGGTATTATATGTTACCGAGTAGTTGTGACATAAAGATTTGGCTTTTTCTATAAAACTTTAGGACTCTGATTGACCTGAGAGTTATTTTTTATTTGTCACTTTAGGTCACATATTTAACATTGTAGGTGCGATATTTCAGTTTTTCCTTTTTCATACATTAGCAAAAAATTTCTACATTTCTGTTTTTTTCTGTCGAGATGGGATGACGAGTTCATGAGAAATAATATGAACTTTTTTTATTTTAGCAAATGTCTGCAATTAAAGTGTGAAAAATTTAAAGAGGTCTGAATACTTTCTATACCAACAGTACCGAAAATATATTTTTTTATATATTTAATTTGACACTTAATTTTGAAAAGTATTTAAAAAACACACATTTAGTTTGTAGAGTGGTCTAACCATCCTGCAGATAAAATCTGTGAAGAAAGCTGAAGCTTTGACATTTCAAGTGGCAACATGACATATTTAGAGAGTTTCTGCAATAAAATCAGAAACAAATATAGTAATAATTATTTCCTTCCACTGTAAGAATAATGCCACCACCATTGTTAACTTGATTTAAAAGAACCAGCTCTGTACATTTTTTCATGATCATTAGCAATAAATAATAAACAAAATCAAAGAGTCCAGGGTGTCAAAACAAAACAAAGCATTCGTCAAGGCAGCATAGCCGACATGAAAACCCACACAGAGCAACACAACATAGCCAATTAGAAAACAAAGACTGTCAGGGAGTCAACAACAGATTCTCTCAAAGTAATCAGCAGCAACATCAGCGAACAGCCTGAGATATTGGAGCAGAAAGGATAGAAAGTGAAACAAAAGTGGATTTTCTCTTACCCGCTGACTCCAGCAGCACATGGAAGTCGGTTCCTCTCTGAGTCGGCGTGCCGTCGTCTTCCTCCACCCTCTCCGACGCCTCGTAACGGTCCCAGTTGGACTCCAGTGTCCTTCTGGAGAACACCGCCGTCCTGTCGTCTTCATCTTCGAGGTTCTCCCCCTCGTCTTGGTGCTGAAGGAAAACAAAAGTCAGATCAATTGGAAAAAATACCTAAAATAATAGACAAATAGAAAAAAACTAGGAATTATTATTGTAGTGTTCCTTCAAAACAATCATGAAACTTGAGCCGATTATAGTTTTGAACATTTCCGTGTTTAATCAAATTACGCCAATTTATGGTTTTAAGACAGAAATTAAGATACTAATCGAAATTTTCATTCTTTTATAAGGACTGGATGTACTTTCCTGTAATTCACAACTGTAAGCAATGCCTACTGTTAAAGGTAAACAGCAAGGAATGCCAACAGTGGACTCATTAAATTTGTTGGAGTCATGGCTCTTCCTGTTTGTCTGCAGAGTTATTCCAGTAATCATTCTCTGGAAACACGCTAAAGTCTTTTTTTTCCTTTTATGTCAAGCTCAAGGATGCCCATTCTCGCCCCCAGCCATGTCATTAAACACCACACGGCAGGCATGGATGCACCAGGGAGATTTTTATGATTGCAATCAAGGAGCCCCAAGCAACAAAACTTATTTCTATGATTGCAATCAAGGAGCCCCAATTGTTTCTTCTCTAATTCTGTCAGAAACATCACATGACTCAACATCTTGGAGGAAATTAGGTGTAATTTCAAAGGCTGACGTTCTACGCGTTCCTTGTAAAAGTGTTTACAGTGTCGCACATGGACATTACATTTATTTAAAGGAGGAAACACAAGGGGACGAGTAAAACATGCAGGACTTAAGTAACTAAACTCCACTATATGCCGAATTGAAGACAACCTTATTTTTAAGCTTAAAATATTATCTAGAACTGAGTTTGTTTGCTCACAGTCAAAAAAAGGAGGAGTTTTAATATTTTTCAATGCAGTTTGGTGCAGCGGTTCTCACCGCCTGGGGAAAGTTTGCTGCGGCGTGGTAGCCTCCACCGCGTCCGCGTCCCCGGTGGTCTCGCCTGCCTCTGCTGCGGTGTTGGCCGCCTCTCCCCCGGCCTCTGTGCTCACTGCTCTGGCCGTCGCCGTCGTGTCCACCCCGGCCGCCTCTCCTCCAGCCACCTCCCCTTCCTCGCATGACTCTACCTTCCATAACAGTTGTTGTTTACTGAGTGTCGGACACTTTAGCGGGTGGCACCGCCGAAGAGGTACCACCGCAAAATATGTCCCGTAGAAATGTTTCCGGTTGAGTTTTTTTTTTTTTTTTTTTTTTTGCAATGAATATTCTCTACTCTTCAGAGTTAAATACTTATAGTATAATAAAAATAAAATAAAACATATAATAAAAAAGTTTAATTAAAAGCTTATTAAGAAGTAAAAATAAAATGCAAAAGCAAACTATAAAGCTGTTTTTATAAAGCAAAGTGTTTCTATTATAGCAGCTTTGGAAACAACAAAAGTTGGTTATGTGTTTCATATGTTAAATTATTTCGTACATAAAAAATCACAATACTAGTAATTTTTATGGCTTGAAGCTAGTCAGAGTCAGACTACAGTTGAACCCTTTCCACCTTAAATTCAATCCAAATTAGGCTTTTCTGCACACAAAAACACAGTTTAAAAATCTGAAATTACTCAGAGCTGGTAGCAGCCATTTTATCTCTAAAATCGCTAAAAAGTCATTTTTAAAAAGGTTCTTGATGATTAATTAAGCGTTTTATCATATATTTTCAATATCTCAACATTGTTGTTTTTGTTTTATTTTAGGCTGCCAACTCATCTTGATGGGGACACAAAGAGGAGACTAATAAGAAAAACCTAATAACAGAAGACAATGGATGTCCATAACAGCACTTTACACAATGCGACAGTTCCCTACAGCCTCTTGGAGGTCATAGCCATCGCTACAGTGTCAGCCATCGTCAGTCTGATAACTGTAGTTGGAAACATACTGGTGTTGCTCTCATTCAAAGTAAATAGCCAGCTGAAGACCGTTAACAACTATTACCTGCTCAGTTTGGCCTTTGCTGACCTCATCATAGGAGTCCTGTCCATGAACTTGTACACCATGTACATACTGATGGGCTATTGGTCTTTGGGGAACATTGCTTGTGACCTCTGGCTGGCAGTAGATTATGTGGCCAGCAATGCCTCAGTCATGAACTTGCTTGTGATCAGCTTTGACAGATACTTCTCCATCACAAGGCCACTGACTTACAGGGCAAAGAGGACACCGAAGAGAGCCGCCATTATGATTGGGCTAGCTTGGCTGGTATCTTTTGTACTTTGGGCGCCTCCCATTCTATGCTGGCAGTACTTTGTGGGAAAGAGAACAGTTCCTCACGACGAGTGTGAAATCCAGTTTTTAACCGAGCCCATAATCACGTTTGGAACGGCAATTGCTGCTTTCTACATCCCGGTCTCAATTATGACCATCCTCTACTGGAGGATCTACAAGGAGACGCAAAAACGGACAAAAGACCTTGCAGAGCTTCAAGGACTCACAACTGGGAATGTCCCAGAGGGGAATAAACCACAGAAGACAATGATTCGGTCTTGTTTTCATTTCCCCAGAGAGAAAAGAGACCAGAGTCAGGCCTCCTGGTCTTCGTCTACGCAAAGTAACGCTACTAAAATGACCAGCAGGTCAGATGAAGCATGGGTGAAATCAGATCAGATCACTTCTTTCAACAGCTACACATCATCATCAGAAGAGGAGCATCGGGTTTCAATAGAAACCCCACAAGGATCATTCAAAGAGCAGCAGGCGGGAAAGAGTAATAAGAACGGGGAGGTTCCAGATTATCCAGAGGAGGAGTATTGTTCGACTCCTCAGACGAAGAGCCATAAAAGCTTGATCTCTTACAAGTTCAAAGGCAGCTCAAAGAGTAAAAATGACAATCCACCGAGTCCAAAACCATGCCCTCCAGAGCCAGAGCAGCCGGTCAAAAAGCCGTCTACCTCTTCATCCTCCACTGCTTCTAAGCCCATAGACTCCGCCATGAAGAACAGGATCACCAAGAGGAAGAGGATGGTGCTTGTGAAGGAGAAGAAGGCAGCCCAAACCCTCAGCGCCATCCTCCTGGCCTTCATTCTCACATGGACGCCGTACAACATCATGGTGCTCATCTCTGCGTTCTGCTCCAAGTGCGTCCCTGTGTCCCTTTGGCACTTGGGCTACTGGCTGTGCTACGTCAACAGCACCGTCAACCCCATGTGCTACGCTCTGTGCAACAAGACCTTCCGGAAGACCTTCCGCATGCTCCTGCTCTGCCAGTGGAGGAAGAGGAGGCGAGGCAACAATAAAATGAACTGATGTGGTGGTTAATGCTTTTTATCCCCACATGACGGCGTCTGTTCATATTTGCTAGTGTTCATTTGCCATGTGGTGGTTTTTGTATTTGATATATGTTGGTAGAAATTTAGAAAAAGTCAAAATGACTGGAAGGAAAGTTTACTCAGCCAATAAACATCCTACAAAGAGAAAGATGTATAAAAAAAACATCTATCTTTTATAGCAGTAGGAAACACTGAGGATTTGCATTGAGAATTTTCTCTGATTTTGCTTTTTATAGTTATATGTTTGAGTAAAATAAACATTGTTCTTTTATTCTATGAACTACTGACAACATAGCTCAGAAATTCAAGCAACTTTTTTTTAATTTATTTGCAGAATATGACAAATGGTCAAAATAATGAAAAAGATGCAGTGCTTTCAGATCTCAAATAATGCAAAGAAAACAAGTTAATGTTAATTTAGAAACAACAATACCAATGTTTTAACTCAGGAAGAGTTTAGAAATTAATATTTGGAGGAATGACCAGGATGTTTTCAATGTGGGTTAGTGCATTTTTCCCAGACCTGGACATTTCTTCTCCTTTTTGTTTGCATTTTTTAACCCTGAATAATTGTGCTCAATATAAAATCTGAATTTTCTCAATTTTTAATTGTGTGAGGATACTACTGCAGTAAAAGATGGATTTATTTTAAAGCTTTTTGCACATATTTTTCACTATATGTGTGTATTTAGAAGGAGTTAAAAGGCTTCACAAAAGTTACCTTGGATGAACTTACCTTGGATTTTCAAACGCTTTTGAATAAAAGAGGCGATGTGAAGGAACCAAAATCTTTCTTGAAACGGATGGCTTCAGATGATGCCTCCAAATCTCAGAATGAAGAACCTGTAATTTGTGTACCATGATGGTTCATGATGCTGCCACTTTTCACAGCAAGAAAAACGGATTAAATAAGAATAATTCAGTGTATCTTTTCTAGGTGTTGTCTTCAATCTGTGTTTCTGGGTCCAGCACAAAATAAGTGCAAAAAGTTTGAAGTGCTCGTTTATGACAGCTGTTAATGTCATTGTATTTGTTGCTTTGTATTGATCTTTTTCTATGTAGATTCAGATACACAAGTTGATTTGAGAAGATGTAATTTTTTTGTGACATATCTGAAAAATGTCCTTATTCTGCATCCGACCAAATTAATTTGCGCTTTCTTATTACGAGATTACCCATCATTCACTTGCTTATTGCTGCTGATGCTACTTGCATTTCCAGTATTTCTTTTCTTGCTGGTTCTTGATGTGTTTTATATAAAAAAGTATTTTGTTTTGAGACTCACAACTCAGCTGTTAGTCATGTCTTCTGAATAAAATTCTAGCTGTTAACTATATCAACCAGAAGGATGTGAGGTGCCTGTGATTGTGACTTTTCAAAAAATACAAAACAAAAAGTGGAGTTCAGTCACTTTATCTCAAATTAAGATTGAAGAAAATAAACTCGTGTATTTAAATATGTCAAAAATTGCAAATAATTACACTATAGTTCTCAAAGGTGTGCAAAAACTGGCCAGGTTTTTATATGAAACCAAATAAAGCTTTTTTGGACTTTATTTATATAAAAATCCTGTACAATTCAACTTTAAAGCTTGTACAGGCTTTAAACTTGTACTTAATATTTAAAAAGTTAAAGTAGCATCCACTGATCCAACTGTTAATTTTATCCACAGAAAAACTTTTTTTTAAGTATGAATAAAGGCAAACCCAGAGCATGATGCTGCCACCACCATGCTGCACTGTGTCTGATTTGTTTCCAATTTGTGGCCCAGATGTTTATTTTCTGGTTTCATCAGACCAGAAAACATTCTTCCATCTAGTTTTAAGCCTGGATGTTTTCTTTAAAAGAAAAATAATTCCGGCCCACCATGCCTTCTTATGTGGCCCACTAGATTATAGACTAAACACTAAGTGTGCGTAAATATTATGTTATCAATCAAATCAATTTTTTATCTGTTTATTGCCAAATTGTATCAGTCAGTCCCTGTAGTTTTTTGAGAATTATTGTGGAAATTCACGTAAAATCAACAAATCCCCACACTTTTTTTGCACTGATTGGGAGTTTATTGTCGATTTTTCTCCAAAAATAGTCAAAAACTTTTTTATTTGTTCTCAACAGCTGCCTCCGCCTTAACCTATGTCAGATTATAGTCCACGAGATATACAGGGATTATTAAAAAGTCGTATTTTCCATCATAAATGCATATAATATTTCAAATATTTCCAAATCAGTACCACAAACACTTTGATTTTTATTGCAAAAAATTACAAAAAGAATCACAAAATCTGAAAAGATGTTCAATAATAATATCTAATTTTAAGGATTCACTGATATTTTAACAGTTTGTTAACAGGTTTTATCAATACATCCTGGCACAACTCGCACTTTAAGAGCATTCAGGATCTAGATTTGGCCCAAAACCAAAATGAATTTGACACCCCTGCTGTAGAGAATAAAGAAGACAGAAATTAATTCAGCTTCTTCACTGCTTATGGTCTTTTAAGTAATTTTGGAGAACATTGTGGATAACTGAGAGGACTTTCTCAGAGTGGTGAATTATTTCTGCGTTGATGCAGTTGGATGTTCAGGATAATCAGCCAGTTGAAAGACCAAATGAAGCCCTACGTTCACGTTTCTGGTAGAGGCTACAAGATTTCTTCCTTTGGAAGAGAAAGAGGCCCAAAGCATCATGGATCCTCCTCTGTACTCAACAGTAAACATGTGCATTTGCCAGATATTCGGAACATCAAGATCAAGAATGTCTTTAAATTAAAATTAGAATATAAAAACAGTGATCTGTAACAACTTTAGTGAGCAGCAATATGAACTTGTGTTTATAAATGTACAAAATATAGATAGCAGTAGTGTTTGTTTATTTTGCAGTTTCATCAATTACTGTTAAAACAGGGAGGCTGAATTTGAATTTTGTTACTGTTTACTTATAATTTATATGTTTAACTGTTCAAATTTCCCAATCTAAAGTTTTATTTTATACTGTTCTGTAAGGTTTTTGTGAAAGATGCACATTGGTTTTAATGTTAAAAATTTCATGTGCATTCAAAATGACTGTTGCTAAGTTTTAGAGAAATGCTCCATTCCTCAGCCGAAAATACAGTAAATAACACTGAATCTGATTATGTATAAATATTGTATTTACCAAAATATTTTAAGTTTCACACCTGTGAACATTAAATGTAAATTTTGTACACTGGGTTTGGTGATGTTTTCTTCTGTTCTGTTTCTGGCTTTTGGGAACGTATCTTATGTTTAAGGGCTAACTTGTGCATCTTGTGAATTTTAGAAAGCAGTAGTTGAACAGTAATGTACATGTGATTATTTAAAGAAAACATCCCTCCTAGTATCCATCATGTAAAAAAGATTTTATATGTTTGAATGATGACTTTGTATTGACCCTTTGCAACTACGTCACTAAATCATTCCAGGCGCCATGATGGACGGCGGAAGTGAGGGGCGGGAGTGTTAAACGTAGCTAATGAAATTGTTTTTCAAAGTTGTTTTTGCCAGTTTATTCATGGCTTCTACTTGTTCGAGTTCAGCTAGTTTATCTGTGAATGCAACACATCTTGTTGGGCTTTACAGATGGAGGTATTTACAAAAGTTGGAAGCAGCTAGCTTAGCAACGACCCGAACCTCCTCTCACCGGACATGTTGATCAAATTACCGACTTTGCCTGAATTTACACAACATAATTTATGTGATTATGTCGTAAACGGCGATTCCCCTTTACACAGAGGAAGCCTTACAAAGGTAGAAAAAACGAGATGCTAACCACTTCGCTCCATACATGCTAGGCTACATGATGGTTACCATGGTTACACGTACATAATACAATATTGGATATTATTTTTTAATCGTCTTTACATATGACGTTTATAAAAGCTAATGTTCTTGCCTTGTAGAAAGTGTTCGCTGCAAATCCGCAGTTACACCGAGGGCTGACAGTCGTTATGGTTAACGGCTGCCATCTTTCCTCATTAAAAGTTATAAAATGAAATGACAAGTTTGGTTTCACGCGTGTCTGTCTTTGCAGCGACCAGTGACTATTTCTACTGCGAAATCGACTTAATAAAAGTGATATTAGACCACCAGACGTTTTTTTCGATCGGCTTTACAGGAGCGCGTCTGTTTTTGACGTCCATCATGGCGGAAGAGTTCTGAAGGAAGTGACGTCACGCGCAAACGGTCGACGCTGCTCCAACTGTACATCTGTCGCTGTTGAATTTACAGTTGTAAACTCTGTGCCTTTTGTTTTGTTCATATATTTGTGACTGAATCTGTGCTGCTCTGAACTTTTACATTTACCATCCAAATAAATGCAGAAAGAAAGATAATATAGTTGAATTTTTGAAAAACAATGTTCTATTTAATTACATTTTTAATTGAAATAACATGTCAAAACTATTTATAATCTCCTCTAAGGCTGAGCAGTATGGCCCAAAAAATTTATCAAGATGAAATGAATTTTTTTGTTATTGTACCAAATCAGGACTAAATTTATTTCAGTACACCCGATCCAGAGAAGACAATAGACAAAAACAAGGGAGACGGGGTGCATTTTACATCAGTTCATATCAAAAATTACTGATTGGTCTTTGTTTAAAATACCCCAAATACCCATAACTGCTTAAAAATAAAACAAATGGGTGTGAATGGAGAAAATGAGAACACCTCATGAATAAATTGCAGATAAGAGGAAAGGTCACATCACTAGTTTAGCAGTATTTAGGATATTTAATGCAAAAATCTAGTATGTTTTTCAACTATATTGCCTAGCCCTAATCACTTATGTACGAGAAGTTTCCCCCAACCACCTGTTTGCACAAAAAAAAAACAAGAATTTTTGCATTTTAAATAAATAAAAAAGAACCTTTGTAACCTTTGCCCAGTACCCAGTAGTAAAAGTTTTTGCTTCACTTGCCCAGTTGTGTAATTCTGTAATTGCTATTCAAGTATTAACCAATTAATCACAATATTGAAAGTATTTTTTTAGCAGCAGATGCATCTTTTACTACAAATAATCAAGTGTATGTTAAAGAAATGCGATGCTGTTGCATTTTGGGCAAGAACATATTTATTTTATTATTTTAAAAAAGGAACTGAATGTTTCAAAATTGCGTTACGCCTTAGTAGAAATGATGTGTGATTTTCACATCATAATGTGATGTGAAAATCTTAAATATGAAGAAAGAAAATAAGAACATTTTACACAAACAACTGAGTTAATGATTTTAATATTGACTTTACTTCCCACTTTATTAAAAAGCAAAACCAGCATCACTCTGCAGATCTGGAAAACCAGCCACACCTCTTTTACTCTCTAACCTGTCAACCACGGTCGCTTTAATTTATACACCTCAGGCACATCATGTACAGTATATAAGCATACAGTGCACTATAATAATTCTTAGAATGAGGTCATGTGTTTACTACCAAACAAATCAGATATTCTCAAATAAAAAATGTTATATAGCTTTTTAATTTATTTATCTATACTTTTAAATAAGAACTCATCTTAAATTTTGATTTCATTCACAGTCGGATTACCAAAACTGTCCAGGAAAAGAAAAACTCTGAATATGTATATAGGCTCTTTTTTTTTCGATAGAGGAATTTAGCAGCAGTGGGAAAACTACACAATTAGGACAAACAAACAGAAAGTAGGAATAATAGCTTTAGCAAACATTTTCCACAGTGCAGCTTGAAACCAAAAACACTTAGCTTTGTTTCAGACAGTATATTGGAAACCATGGTGTGCTCAGAACATTTACAGATGGAGAAAACTGTACAGCAGACCCAGGTGAATGGGGGAAATGACACTTGACAAATCTTGTTTTGACATAGCAAGTCAGTTCCAGCAGGTTGGTACTGTACTACCTCCGTTTCACTGCAGGCCTGCTGCCCTTGCTGCTGCTGCTGCTGCCGGCCTTGCTGGAGCCCTTGGAGCCGGAGAAGAGCTTGGTCATGAGCTCAGAGACGTCTGGAAGCTCAGGGTTGGGATTCAGCATGTTCATGGACTGCTCCATTTCCTGCAAACATGGAAGGGATTTCAGAAACTACAGACTAACATCCTTTGGTCGTCTGAAGCTACCCACTGAGGTAACGCTTTGTTTGAAGGGGTGCGCACTCGGTTATCATAAACATAACACCTGTTATGAACATGAAGGAGTCTTCATGAATGCTTATGAAGTGTTGTAATGACACTTTTAATGCAGGCTTTAATTGCACTTTGCATTGAAAGTGTCATTTCGTAAATAATGCAAAGTTTTAGTGAATCTTTGTATTAAATGGGTCATTATTTACTGAATGATACTTCATGAAAACACTTGTAAACATTGATGAAGCGTCATTCATGTTCATAGCAGGTGTCATGTTTATGGCAGTCTCATGTCAAATAAGGTGCTACCCACATTGAAAACCACTGTATTGAAATAATAATGTCTACAAAAGCTGTAGTTCACCATCATCAGTCACTCTGTGTTCCTGCCTCTTCAGGACCATTTCCATCCTTTTCGCAAAGTCTGCCCCATCTGTTCCTGTTTGCTTTTCCCTAGACACCAAACCCGCCCATCACCTCTGTTCCCGTCACCAACTCAAATCCTGCTTTTGGGGAATAACCACCAACAATACGCAACATTTCCCTGAGTGTGTCATGAGCCTGGCGGGCCATCAGGCTTTACTTGCCTCTCCACCAGGTCAAGCATAGTTTGTTTAATTCAAATAGGATTTTTAATACACCATTCACAGGATTGATAGATTAAGCAAGGGGGTGTGCATTAATTGTGCAGCCCCTGCATATTCCTGTTGACGTCACACTATTATTTCCAAATTATTATGCCTGCTGTGAGTTTCTGTGACCTTTGATATTTAACACAAAATCACGATGTGCTGCTGCCTCTACCACCAGGCTTAGCCTGTTTACTGGGGAAAACTGAATACCAATCATGACTTTTTCAAATTTCGAGCTTCGGTTTTATCAGTATATCTGAAACTTGTTGCACAACCAGAAAGTTCTGAATAAACTTATCATTTCATCTGCACTAAAGCAGAACCATGAGAGCTCTGCTCCTCAACCTCTAACCTTGCTACATTTCCATTTGGTCTCCTGACAGGTCTTATACCGCCCTTCTTCTCTGCTTCATGCCCAAATCTCTAACTTTACCCATCCTGGAATCTGATGAACTCAAAAACCCAACAATCTTTTCTGGCCAGTTGTTGCCTAGCATATGGATTTCATTCCTTACAGTTCTCTAAGAAAAAGTTATTCCATTACAACGCAATATAATGAGGTCAACATTTAAACATCAGAATGCCTTTTACACCAGTTAAAAATGCTGCATATCATAAACACCCTACCGGAGACCTGAAGGTGTTCCTTACCTTCCTCATCTCTGGGTCGTTGGTATTGACGACTTTGGGCAGCAGAACAATTATGAGCAGAGGTAAAACCATCATCATCACCTGCAGAAGCAACAAACATTTAAATGAGGAATTCACCTGGAGCTCAATTCAGTGTTGACAAAATTTATTACCATTGGGTTCATGAGGAAATCTGTCCAGCCCCAAGTTTCTCTCTTTATGAAGTAAGTGTGAGGACCACTGGCTCTGATCTGAAGTGGGTAAGGCTGACGAATCACCTCTGAAGTCTTAATGTAATTCACAAGACGCGCCCTGTGAAGGAGACATGGCCTCAATATGGGTTACAACTGCAAATAATGTATTTTTGGCTTAAATTATGGTAAAGCCTTACCTCATTTTCCCCTTGGAAGTGATATCAACACGAACTGGTTCAAATCTATACGTAGGGGTAGCAACCTCCACAACATAAGATCCAGAAGGGATGTCATTCACTGCAAAACTCCCATCAGTTCTGTAAAAACAAAAGGCCAAGTGATTTCAGTTTAAATAACTGAAATCACACATTCTGCAACCACAACACATCTTATAGTTAATATTACAGCAATAAAAAGAGAGGGTGGGGAAATTATTTTTGGAAAAATCACTGTTCCTTCCCGTGGGATAAAGAGAAACTGCAGCAATGTAAACACAGAACAACACCTGGAAACGAGTGTTTGGCTTATATCCATAAAATAAAAGAAATTGAAAGACCTGTATTGTTATGTACTGTGAACATGTTATTCTCATTAACTCCAATATTTGAAAACAACTTTTCAGAGAATTTTTTTGTATAATAAGAAGCCAACACCCGTCATGTTTTGTAGAAAACATTGGTTTGAACTGTTACTATGTTGACAACAGACTCGACTCTCAAGAGGCCCGCAATTAGCATTTAGCATGCGGGCCTTAGGTGCACTTTATGTCGTAATTAAGCATATTCTTGTACATGGTTACTATACTTACATCCATGTGTATTAATCTGTAAGTAGTCTACCAGTTTTAAGCCATTATTTGTGTTCAGCATCAATCGTGCGGTCACCTGATCTTGAGATGCTAACAGCAATGCTAACGCTAAACACTTAGCAAACAAGCTAACCACTGAAGCGTCTTTGGTAATCTCTTACCTTAAAAACCCCACATATTCCTCGCCCTCAACCAAGACTCTTGCCGTTGAGACCCAATCTTGAGTTTTCACGCCAGGTACGATCGCTCTTCCCTCGATTTTGAACTTATCTCCGTTCGGCTGCGTCGATACGCCCGCACCAGGCCCCGTTTCCATGTCGGTGAAACAGCCAACCAGGACGAGGCCGGTTTGAATGAAAAGCCACAACAGCGGCATGCTACCCCTCTGCGACATGGTCCGATGTTGTTACACTAAAGTGGCTTCCAATAAATTTCGCAGGGACATGTATGTGGTGGCAGGTTGTGTGAGAAGCGCTTATTTCAATATCAGCTGTGTCTGAGGGGAAGTGACGTCACATCCGGAAAAGCGATATACAAATTTGGGCACCAAATGTTTTTTTTTTTAGATCGCAGTTTAATTTATTACCCTGACTATAATAACTGAATTAAATTAAAAAATTATTTAATAATCACAGAGATAAATCAAGATGTATTGTAACTCATATTAAATAATTTCCTTCAAAGTGGTAAATGCTGTTGGCAAGAACGATCTCCTAGGTGATGCCACTGACTGGGAAAAAAAAAAAATCTATCATTGATGACTGTTATGTTTAATTGCCAAAGATCAGTGGGAAAAATCAAATGTGCTTTCTTTGCACTTCCACCTACTCGTGTAAACATTTGGCTATGTTTCTAGCTTAAGTTTAGAGATTTAAAGTTGCATTTACTCTATATTTTTGCTGTTTTGTCCAAAACTGTCACCACAAACTGTTTTCTGGCATTGGAATCATACTTGACTAGAGAGAAGATACCCAAAATATTAGGAAAACTGCTGTTGAATGTCACAGGAGAAAAAGAGTAGACAAACCATAGTGAGAAGAGAAGCAATACTGTATTCTTTTTTCTTTTTTTTTTTAGGAAATTTATTTAAAAGAAAATTAAAAGAATCACTTATTTGGACATTTGTTGGTCAAACAAAACAAGAAGAGGCAAGACAACTAATAACTTAAAGACTCTTGGAGATTCAAGTTCCTGATTCCGAAGAAACCAGGCACACAGAAGAAGAAACAAACAGGGCATTTCAAAGACAAGTGATTTAGTGAGAGACAAAGACATTGGCACTTCATAGAGCATCATAACAGCCGGTCTTATGAGGTCCACTAAACATGCCCCTTCACAAGACGGTCCACTTCAATGTGAAGCAGTCATTTCTGTGCAGGCTTGCTGCCCTCCTCCAGAGGAGTCCCCAGCTCTAGCGGAGGAGATTTGTCTGAATGATCAGGTTCAATCCCAGTTAAGAAGTTTGAGTGTCCGCAGAGTGAACCAGTCCATTTCTCTGGCAAATATCACTTCAAAAAACAGCCAAGATCAGCAGTAGTGGTCACATGCATCAGAGTGCTACATTTATTAACTGTCAGGGAAGTTGAGAGAGATGAGATTCAATGGTCTGGAAAACAAATGAGAGAGAGTATGATAATTATTTAAACTATAATTTTTTTTAAGTCATTAAAATATATTAAAACTGAATAAAAATATCCAGAAACTGCAGCTGAAGGAACTTACTTTCGCCAGCTCTCCCACTGATCCTGAAACCAAACATAGTAGAGATCCTTCTTTCCACAAGTCCTTCAGTCGCTGCTTCATGACATCGACGTTCCTGAAACAAACAGAAAAGTATTATCTAGTGGTTCTTACAGGTTGACAACTGATAGCTGCCAACACTTTAACTAGGGACCTAGAAAACTACCAGAACTGACAAACTTAAAGGCAGGGTTTTAGCTTTTTTTTAAAAGTATTTTTAAAATATTTGCATTTTTTAAGACAAGTATTAATCTTTCAATCTTTTAATAATACATAATTATCAAGTAATATTTAGAAATTTTCTGTTAACTTTAAACATTTAACTCGAAAACACAACGGGCTGCTGGGTGAATGACAGCCCTAGTGCTCAACTGCCAGGCTTAGCAAGTTTTCTGAGAGAAACCTTGGAAGATGACCCACTATGCCTACAGGTATACAAAACATTGTTGAATAATTTTTTTACTCAGAATAATTATTAGATAATTCTTAGAAAAGTATATTTCCAGATACTATTAATACTCATCACTTTAAATCCAAACAAGTTGCTCAAAATATCAACATTTACACTCGCAGGTTAAAATGGCTGCAAAAAGATGCACAGTTATACAACCATTCATCTTTGAAAAGCATCAGTAGTGCCTCCTGCACAACAAAATTTTAATAAGTGATTTTGGGATAGCTTTTCCAGCAGCCATTGTACAGCGGTTTAACCTGCTGACCAAAAATTCTGGAGCTCTGGTTGCTAGATGATAGGAGGGGCTTTCCTGCAATTGCTAGGTGAGGGACAGTGCTCGTTTTAAGATGGGTATTAATATTTTTGTGACTTTACATTCCAGACATTTTTGAAATAGCTAATTTTCTAGACACCAAAAAAACATTAACTTATTGCCAAAAAGCATATGGATAGTTTTTTTTTTTTTTAAAGTGAACACACCAAAGTCTTGAGCCTCTGTCAGTATGAACTAAGGAAAGCACTCATTTCAGCTGATCACATTTAATTTAATTCTATATTCAGCTGCTGTTGTCAACAGAGCTAAATGTAGATTTAGTTGCGATAAAACTGAGATATTAAGTTGAACATTAATCGGTAACATTAAACCTATCCACCTTAAAAGGCCACTAGAAATCCTCGCTCATTCTGAAATATGAGCATCACAAGACAATCAAAGGTTCAACTTTGGAGATTCTTTAAGACGGTAATCAGCATGGCACACCCACCTGTCCTCTGAACAACTGTCCTGCAGTCTCTTCTCGGCTTTGGAAAGTTCAGGCCACCATTTCCTGATGACGGTCTGAAGCCAGTGTAAAGCCACCATTATGTGTCTGTAAAAAAAAAAAAAAAAAAAAAAAAAAAAAAAAAAAAAAGATAAATGGAGTAGTTTTCACCTCATCTCAGTCATTCTTAGACATAAACAACAAGTTTGTATAATGTAACAAGAAGAGTGCCCCCTCTGGTTCTGTAATGGCAAACAGAATTAGCTCAAGGCAGATCTAAAACTAATTTTTCAGGGAAATAATTGAGGCCTTTTCACTTGCAGGGACTTTAGGAAGTTTTTTTCCTGGACCAGGTAGCATTGTGGTGAACGGTGGACATGATTTCTTTACTTTAGTCATATCATCCTCTGCCTGCCTTCATTTTTGGTAACATTAAAATGACATCAGTTTTATATTTTTACTTGTGTACAACATTGTATCCTATGCACAATGACTTGGTGTATTACAAACACTGAATAAGTGTTTTAATACAGCAGTTTATGTTGTCATATTTTCATTAAGTGGAACTGAAAAACTACAATGAAAGGAATTTTTGTTTTAGCGTTTTCTCAGATATGGAAGGAAAAACAATTTCTGAAGTCCTTAAGAAATTTTGACCCTTACATTTAAATATTTTCTCATAGTTTACGCTCTAAGACGGAATAAAGAGACCAAATCTATCCAAGATGGTCACCTTTCTTCCTTCTTTTCACAAAAACTAGTATTTTGCTACATGTTTGGGAGGGAGAAGCAAGGGAAGAAAGCAACTAAAACTTCTTGGATGGATGTGGTGATGCAATGTTGTTGATATCAGAGGAACTTACTCTTCATATTTGCTGGAAAGAATGACTTTGACTTGGGGAAGCAGGTCAACACAGCAGCCAAGTGACAAACATGGTGCTTCAGTTTGAAGGCTAATAAAATCAGAAAAAAGAAGTATAAATAATGAATGGATGATGACTCACAGTAGACTGAATGGGAATTAATAATCGAACAACTGAATTCTATGTAGGAGAGGCAGAAAAGTAAAATATTTAATTTCAGTAAAGCAGTAGACTCACTAGCATTTATTTACGTCACACATTCAGTTCAGGCATAAAATGATAAAACACAACTTATAGTGTTTTTATTTGTATTAATATACTTATAATATACATTGACAGCTGAAACTAGAAGTTTAAAATAAATTTCCCTGATATATAATCTCTTAAAAAATTGTCTCACAAAAGAACTCTCAATACGTTTTCTAACATTTACCAAATAGAAATAATTTTAGTACTTCTGACTGGCATAACCAGAAAAATTTGGTCTAATTTGCTTCAGAGTAAGGAAAAAATTGTGTATGCATCTTTAATTACTGTATGTAAACTTTCAGCTGTATAATCCTATCACTGATATATCACGTTTTAAAAAAAGTTGTGGAAAAAAAACAAAACATAAAAACTTAACAGCTGGTCTATAAAAATGAAATGTAACTCACTTGTTAGTTAAGACAGGTAAGCAGTCAAGCAGAACTCCTGTGTCTTGTATTCTGAGGAGCAAAAACAACTAAAACAATGAGTCACATGGAAACGCCCAATGCACCAAATAATATGATATAATTTTACCTTATAAGGTAGGATACCAGCTCGCTGGCATTTCTTCGCCATAGTGTCAGAGCTACTTTAAGTCGGAGATCTCTTCCAAAGAGAATGTGGGTCATAGCTTCATGGTCCTTTGATAACTTGTAAAAAAAATCAAAAATACTGGTGTGTAAGAGTAAAACCAAGACTGTGAACGTTCTTTTAAAGGTCTGTTTCTCACCTCGGTAAAGTCCGCGTACTTGGAGCTGGCCCCTGCCATCTTGGAAGCCTCAGCAGGGTTCATGGGCGGCCCGGAGTGAACGCCCCGCACGTCATCGGAGCATGTCACCTCATTTTCCTTGTTGGCCATGCCGGGGCCACGGAGACGGCCTACATTTGATGACCTTCGGTGCAGCTTTGCGCCCACCTCCCCCGATGAACAACTCCTCCTCTTGCAAGGCAACGGGCGCTGTGTTTTGCCTGGACTCTGTACTCTGCGATGCACCTGGAATCTGAGCGGAGAACCACCGAGATGGGCCAAAGCAGCGGCCGTACAGTCAGGAAGTGAGATTCAAAGACACAAATATTCTGTGTTGATGGAAAGGGAAGATGACTTACAGGTGCATCTCAATCAATTAGAATATCACTGAAAACTAAATATATTAATTCTAGATTATGACCAACAACTAATGACAACACAAAATTCAGCTTTATTAGCCCACTCAAAACCAGGAATCTTCAATCTGCTGCTCTTCAGATCTTAATAACTTTGACGAAAAACAGCCAAACTATTATTCAAACTTAACCTTTGAATCTTTTTAAATAAAGATGTAAATATTAAGCATTAAATATAAAGTTTAAGCTGTTTGTTTGTGGAATTTTTTCCATGTTTGTTCATATATTTTTATGTGGATCTATTTTTCTTGTGAGTTCAAAATTATGAGGTATTTTTCCATCATTTTTATTTTAAGAAATTTTTATCAGTTTTGGCAAAAGTTTAATGTTTGTCCTAATGTTGCAGTCTAGAAATAGAAATAAAATGGGGACTGTTTAAAAATGACAAATATTCACTACAGAAAATTGGTTATCAAAATTTAAAAACCCATAAAATTTGTGGTTCTGAATGGGTTTTATTTAACTAAAGGTTGCATAAAAAAAAAAAAACTTTTTTAATATATACAGAAATGTTAGCCTTTTCAAATGTATGCCTATACAGAAAACTTTCTAAGCCCAGTGCTCAGGGCGCTAGGGCAGCTGTCCTTTTTGAGTTAAAAATATTTGATAGTTGAGCATATTTGGAAGACTGGAAGATTAATACCAAAACACCAACTATAAAGTCTAAAAAATGCAATAATTAAAAAAAACCTAAAATAAATTAACAATGCTAAGCCTGGCGGGGCCACAAGGAAAGCCTGGTGGCCCGTCAGGCTTATAATCCAGTAGGGAAATCCTACTACTCAGTACTATGTCAAGAATATATGTGTTGATACATGTTGAGATCATCACAAAAAATATTTTGAAAGCTTTAATACACTCTTGTAAACTCATTAAAAGATCACAATAAAGTTATTTCTTTTCCAAAACCCTTTTTTTTTCTCACAAAACTGTTATTTGGATCAAAATACATGTAATTATTTTTCGAGTAACTGAATGGATTTTTATCTAGAGTTTATGTTTACAATTAACACAAGTCAGCCACAACTGAAGTCTTATAAATCTCCCCATTTGAATGGACTTTGCTTCAAAAATATTCTCAAATTTCTAGCTTCTCAATCTCTTTCTACCAATTTCCTTCCACATAATTTGAATGAATATGCTTGGTTACAGCAAATCAAAAATATACACCAATTCTTTTAAAAACTGAATGTTGTGTTTTGATAAGTTGAAATTAATAATAGAAATGATCGTGAACTATCCAATTCTTCATTTAAAGATTATGAAACATATGAATGCTACATTTTCGATTTGAATCACTTAAAAAGTTTGATGATATTCTAATTTCTTGAGGTCTACCTGTAATATTCCAGGGCGAAGAGGGACTAATCTGTGGGACGGTGAGAGAATGATTATATTTGGATGAACCCCACGGATGTGAAATTAGAGACTCACCTGTCCTTATCTAATTCTTCCTTATTAATAAAATCCACCTAAAACAAAAGGATAGGGGATGAGGGCACTACCACTACTAGAAACCACTGATCTACACTTCACTTTCACCAGGATTTAACACACACATTTACTGTATTTCATGCATTAAACCAGAGTTCTTGGTATTCCTACCTGCTTCATGTTCTTCTCAGTAGAAACATACAGGCATGACCGCAGAAAGCCATTGGATTTATTGCAGATGACCTTAAAGACTTCCCGTTGCTTACAATGGTTGCCAGCAGCCATAATAAGGGACACTGTTGAACAAACATAATCACTGATAGTATAACTCATTTATCCGGAGCTGTCAACTAACATTGAGGCTATATTTTAACATCAACTAAGAATGTTTTAAAAGGTAAATCTAAGTGTAAACGTTTTTGATTAAAGAGGCGTTTCCCGATTTAGACTCGTTAAGCTGCAACAAAAGTCAAAATTAAAAGTTCAGAATACACTTCTAGCTTTCGTAAACATGTAAACAGGCCATTCAAGTAAGTGAACATTAACTTATAAAACGGCAATTTTAGTACAACCCAAATGACGTTACCGGTAGCTTTAACTTTTAGCATTTAGCTCAACCGCGAAGAAAACACGGAGACGTTAAAAGTAACGAGCTGGGCCGCTGCTACGAGCTAGCTGGCTAACAGGTTAGCCTCGCCACCTTCAGGGAACATATGGCTTCACGTAAAAACAAACGGTGATTCCGACAAGCTGCTGTTTTCACCATTTACACCGGGGGATTGAATACCAACCAACTCATTTTGTAGCGCGTAGTAAGGGCTCCTCAGGTGCGCAAATCCAAAAGAAAACGCGAGAAACTGGTTAAACTCAGACAGAAAACTCCACCTCGATGTTGACGCCTCACTGTTTAACCATTCAAATGAATACACCACCGGTGTGTGGGATTGTGGGATTGATTTTTGGCAAAGAAAGGAATGGAGTTTGGGTAGTTTTAGCGACATCTGGTGGACATTGACAAACAAGCATTTGTAACGCCACGCTCTGGCGCCATCTTGTGGTAGGAAGTCTGCACTGCAGCTTAGTAAAGAAAGAACGGCTAATGATAATGCCAAAGTTGTAATTTTCATTCTAATCGATGGCTGTTGTTAAAACAATAGCAACAAAAGTCTAAAATAAACCTGGTCTTGTGTGGGGTTCTTCTTACAGCTTTCTGCCTTCCAACACATTTCGTGTATTTATATATATTTGTTATTATTGTTATTATTAATGCTGAGACAAAAGATGGAAGCTAGAAAACTTAGACTTTATAAAACAATGAGTGTATATAATAATCTTTCAGCAATTAATTAGATAATTTATGCATTTCAATATGTATTTGCTATATATTAATACATAACTCTATAAACTAAAAATACTTACCTTCACTTTCATACAAAGAAGCTTTCCTTCGCATGACATATTTTTGTTGCTCGTCCTTCTAAAGTATTAGCATGGAAATATCTGAAATTATCCCCAGAAATTATTTTACTGACGATCTGGATGCTAGACATTTTGATTCTCTGAATTCAAAGACAATAGGAACAATAATAAACCAGTGACCTAATTTTCTTTGGAGGGTTTAACGGTTCATTTATTATGGTAACACATGTAAAGTCCAGCCAACATATACTGGAAGAATTGAAAATAAAGCACCACACACGGACAGGGCTTTGTTTTGGAGAAACTTGCACATTTAAAATGTGGACTCTCCAGACAACCACAAAAATGAACATTTCTGGTAATCTGTAGCTGATCGTGATCAGCATCCAGCTGCATACACCGACACAAAAACACCAAATTATGAGTTTCTCTTTTGAGACAAACTGATCAATATTCCAAAACAAATGTCTATATTTGATTAAAGTTTTTCTTTTTCTTTTTTTTAGCTGCATCTGTGATGCATTAAGAGTCCAAGTCGTTTGATTTCCATTATATGTGAGACCAATTATGGAAAATATTTAGACCAACTCTACTTCTCTAAGCATTTTTACTGACATTTTAGACTGTAAGTTATTTAGAATAAGAGATGCTTGTTTTATTTCACTGTGAAAGTTTTGTAACAAATAACAGCACAACAAACGTTACTGATTAAACTGAAAAACAGCAAGCCAGAGGGCCCTGCAGAAGACAGTGAGGGGATCTGAAAGGCTACCTTGAGTGTTTTTAGATTTCAGACATTTTTATTGATGATTTTTGATGAGTTTAGGTAAAAGTAAACAAAAAAAGAACCTAAATCAATAATTTTATAAGGTTGTAAAAAAATATTTAAAAACTTTTTGGCCATTCTTTTGCAGTTCTGAACATCTAGGGGATATAAATTAATAATATCACAACAAACCTTGTTTATTCCAGCTCCCTTTAGGCTTATTAGAAACATTTTAAGTAATAACTTGGAGAGATTTCAATGTCTGATCTTCTCAGATAAAAACAACCACCCACAAAGAGACTAAGAGCATTATCAGATTTACATCAGCAAGGAAGGATTTGCATTACAAGGTTTCACCCAGATAAAAGCAGAGTGTTTGCTGGAGTCTGTGGCTGTTTGAAATTTAAGCTGGAACTTGGCTGAGGTGCAGAAAATCCCCTTCATACTTGTGAAAGGGTGTTTAGCCTCTTTTAGCAGGATGTGCTTACTGCTAAGCAGGACATTTGCGAGAGCAGAAAAAATACCTTCCGGCTCTGAGTGAAAGAAAAGGTTATTTAAAGAAATCAACTCCAACTTTTTGAAAAACATGACCAATAATTCTGCAGCACTTATGTAATAATTAACTACATACATGACCCGTTTATTTGACAAAACGTCTGGAAATCTAAGTGATGACCCTTCCTGCATTGTGCTATGCTTTCACAAGTAAGAATATTACAATAAGCAGAGAAAACATTACGTTTTCATCAAGTATTTATGAAACAGGAGGATTTTTCAGGTCTAAAAGTGGAGAACCTTGAGATGATGCAGTAATCTGCAAACTCAATTTGCAGATTACTACAGAGTGCCTGATTTTAGGGCCACAGTAAAAATTGAATTCTGACTTTTTTCTCAAAATTCTTTTTCTCAGAATTCTGACTTTAATATCAGAATCCTCAAAATAATCACAATTCTGAAAAATTTACAATTCCTAATTTAATCTCAGAATTCTGAAGAAAAAGGCTGATTAAAGTCAGAGCCACTGACTGACATTAAAGTCAGTGGCCCTAATCCTCTTTCGTATTTCTCTTATTCTGCCTTTTGTTTTTTTACATATGTATTTTGTTAAGTGAAAAAAAAATGATTGGCTGTATGACATTTTCCATGTCACACCGTCTTATCTGGGACTAGAAATGTTTTTTGATCTGTTGTCTTTGCATCCAGAGCTTCGTATGCAATAAATAATTGCATTAACATAATTTAGAAATATTTTTGAAATGACATCGTCTCTGTTGTGCAGTCAGCTCAGTGCAAAAACAAAGGGCTTCTTGGTTGCAAAGTGCAAAACCACATGAAATGAAAAAGTTGACAAAGACATGAAGAGAGCAGCAGAGGCAGAGATTTCAACATTCCTGAGTGAATATCTCAAAGCAGACAGAGAGGATTGGGGCTCATGTAAAAACATAAAACTCCCTCTTAGCCCAACCTGAGCTGAAGTATATACATTTCCATTATTCCCCACAGATCAAGTGTTTAGTGGAGCTCTTCTTCTCATCAGAAAGCCAGCAGCAGACACACTGATGCAATTTCCCCGAAATAAAAGCCACCAGCTGGATGAGTCAGCGTGGGAACATTCACACAGCTCAGAAAGTTCATCTGTAACTCAGATTTTTCTCCTACACAGAACCAGGCTCTGTGTGTATCTATAACTACAAAACAGGACTGGACTTTAACTATGCCTTTGAGTGGGAATAATAAGTGCCATAATTCTGAAAGAATATGGAAGAGGATTAGGGCCACTGGAAAAAACAAAAAATTCAAACTTTTGATTTCCAAATATTAAAGTCAGAATTCTGAAAAAAATAATTATTCTGATTTTAAAATCAGAATTTTGAGATTAAAGTTAGAATTCTGAGATTAAAATCCAAATTATGAGATTAAAAATAGAGTCATTTTATTTTCTGTATAGGGAAAACTTTTACCAATTGTATATAAATAACACAACAAGACTTCATAAAACTATTCACACTGCTTGAATCTTTTCACAGTTTTTAAATTTTGATATGTAACTAACCTAAACCTTCAGTATATTTTATTATGTTTTTGTGACTGACACAAAAATGGAGAAAAAAATCATAATATGAAACTTTTGGCATATTTACAAATTAGAGGCGTCGGAGTAACATGGCTGATTTTTATGTCCTCACCATGTATCATTTTCTTTGAGCTCACATTGGTATGCTACTGTGCAATGGTCAACCATGTCAAATCTAAATAAAATATTATAACTTGACAAAAAGAGAAAACACAAAGTTCAAGAATATCTGAACCTTCTGGATCCACATTCTAGCTTTTTCAGACCATCGAAAAGGAACAGATGATCTCTTTTTGATGGTCTGATGAGATGAATCTCAAACTAGGTGGCCCATCACAGCAAACAGATGAGAATAATAGACGCTGAGAGATTGTTAAATGCACATTCCAGCACTAGATGGCAGCGTTTGTCTGTAACTCATTAAAGCTGGTCGATCCAGCTGTTCCTTTAATGGCTTCACTGGGATTTTTAGATTGCCAAATGATTACCAAAGTCCCAGAGAAGTTTTAAAATCACACGCCAAAATAAGACAATTCCAGAGTCAAAAGACTTGGCATGGAAAACACTTTTGCATATTTTGTCTAACAGGATTATAAAATGCTTTATTAGATTTAGGGTGTATACAGACCAACCCGGAATTAGATTCCTGAACCAGATTCTAATCCGTTCGTCTAGAAAGTCAGAGGTTTTGGGGAGGTCTGAATGCAAATTTGAATTCCAAAACGGACTTAAAAACCGAACTTTGATCCGCCTAAAAACCTCAGTCTTGTTCCAGTTGAAGTGGACTTTGAAATGGTAGAAAACCTGTCTGAATGGAGCCTGACCAGAGATAGTTCTGGTCAATATATTACTCTCTGCTCTGTGGGTTAACGGAGATGTTGTGTCAGTTGTCATATCATCAGGTTTGCATTTCGACACTAAACAAGGAAAAGCAGAATATAAATGGTCTGAAGTTGTTTAACAACTTTTTATCAGCTTGTTGTTCCATTGCAGTGGTGCTCTGCAGCTGCTGTAAGTTTTAAACCTTTAATAAGTGACAAAAACTGAAACACGTTTTTCATGTAGGTTTTAAAAGTTAACAGGTCACCAAGATCAAATCATTTGGTTTTGGGCCAAATCAAGATCATGAATGCTCTTAAAGGGCCAGTTGTGCCAGAACATAATGATAAAACCTGTTCACAAACTGTTAAAATATCAATAAATCCTATTGTATGACATCAATTAAAGCTGAGGCAGCTATTTTGAAAGTTTTTGAGAAAAATCTGCAATAAACTCCCAATTATTAGGACAAAAAATGGCAAGAATTTGTTGATTTTG